CGACAACGTTTTACTGGAATCATGGTAATTGTAACCAAAGACCCAAGACCTCCTCAAAGACATTTTTGGCAAATTAATAATTCGGTCCAACTGATGGACTTGACTTTTATATCGTTTCGTATAAGGCTGCAAGCAGGTTAATTGTAGTTATACCCTTTCCTATAGATTATTAATATACCAGTAAGCAAGAACAAATAGGACAACATAACAATCCACACGACTTTTTACAACTTACGTTTCTTTAAATGAAAGAATTTTCCGAGAGAGACATTATTGATTAATCCATCAGCAATTTCAAAAATCGCACAATATCCAGTGGTGCTGTTATAGAAGATACCATCACAAACATCAGACTGTAGACAACACCTGACACACTGTAGATAAGTATCAACAGTTAATAAAGTTTCTATTTTCCCTTGAACGTCCATGCTGTATCACTTCAGTGATGCTCGTAAAATTAGAAAATTATAAACTTTTAAAAGCTGATGTAACCAAAATAGTCCAAAATGTATAACTAAACCGGAAAAAGAATTAAACTTTTGCATGAAGGAGATACATTGCTTGATCTAACATGATTTTCGCAGATTAAGAACAGAAAATTTTAACAAAACAGTATAAGTATCATGGCAGTACAGACGTACCTAGCTACTGGGCTTGTGATAACCTCGGGAACCGACAGTACAACAGCAGACGTATCCACATAGTGGTAGCATTAAGATTTACGAAAATGTGTCTGCATCTGATTGGAGTTTGACAAGCAAGGTCTTTTTAGTTATGGTCGTGTCAACAATATTTGATGATTTAAAATCTTATTTTTTAAACATTGTTACAGTTATGCTTAAATTATGTTCGATGTAGAATTTTTTTTTAACTACTTGATATGTCATTTAAAAAAAATGATTAGCATATAACTTTACGTATTAAAGGAAAATAAACCAGTTTAATTGCAAAAAAGGGACGAGGATTGGAATATGAAAAATATCAAGGTAGTGGCACTAACAATATCAGCATCTTGAATTGAATGTACCTAATTTATATCTTATCAATCGTATCTCGGTGCAGAAAGTTGGTACGTTCATTGAAAAATGTAATCCTTTTTCATTGGTTTTTTCATCCTCGAAGTATTTAAAAAAAATGAAATAAACGTTTTATTACAGCTGCCACCAAAAGTCCACTCAATGTGTCCCATGATTTGGTCTTAAATATTTTCGATAAAATTGAATCCATTAGACCCGTCTTAGTACACAAGGAGAATTTACTATTAGCGACATAAAGATGTCAGAAGAACAGACTTTAACCGATATAAAAGGGCACAGAAATATATTAAAAGATATATACATGTAGCAATGTACATATGATATATAAAAAAATACAATTTTTTATTAGACATCTTAGATATGTCACAAAATTCAATAACAAAGCCTAGCTTAATTTATGTTAAAAAACAACTATGGTCATATTCGATTTCCTCCCTGGAAAAAACCCGATAACAGCAGCCGGTATGTGCCATGTTTAGTATAATCATTCAGTTACCAACAGCTTTTCTAGATGCGGGGTATTTTTCATGCGACGAACGGGGCATATCCTTATCATGCTGAATGATGATCAAATGTTGATCTTTAGATATCTATTTCCGTTTAACTGTTTCAAAATAAAGAGATGTGATATGACTGTGTTGGGTTGCCTTGTAAACCACGTATTCCCACATTTCCTTTAGTCTATATAAAAAGTCTATATAAACGCATATTATATTTAGATATTTTATTAGCAGTCAAAAGTAAACAATTCACTGACCAAATGTATATTTATATAAATTCCTCAGCTGCTTTACCAATATTGATTTCCATTCAATGGTCATTTAATATATTTTAGAAAACTAAACAAACTCAAAGATTTTGTACTTTTCTTACACTGACTGAACTAATGTTCTATATGTTATGGAACTGAAACTTTTTTTTTATTGTTCACAATATTTCACAATAAACAGTTCTTTGGTACTAACGTGAAAATAGTTCACAATCAAATCAATATAATAAGCGTTAAAAATGTTTATTTAATAAGTGTCAATATTTATTTCCATTGTTCATAATACAAACTATATTTTTACCATTGATATAAATTTTAGTTTTGAAATGCCTGAAATATTGCGATATTTTACCCTATTTTCCACATCTGCAGAACTGAAATGCTTTTACAATAATAATGACCATAACTCTGTTCGGAACTATATCAATATGTTTCCTTGTTTCGATTCCATTTATTTTTGGTAAGTATATGTTATCGGCAATAAGTAAAATTAGGCAATAAGCTTAAATCCTAGGCAATAAGCTACCGCCTAGCCATTAAGTTATTGCCTGAAATATTCAGGTCTTAGGCTTATTTCCTGAAATCTGATGATGATTATTCAACCTATTGCCAAACCTCATTCTATCAGGCAATAACTAAAAAAAGTTTGGGATTTTTGTTTAATCATCAAAGTACAAATGTATATGTACATTCTGTTAAATATTCTTGATGTAAAGTATTGTACGATAGTTTACATGTATGTCTTTGTGGTATTAAAAGAAATAATATGTTTCCAACAAGTGATTGCATCTAATGAAAGGAGAGGGGATGAAAGATTATATTTGAAAATTATTTGAGGAAAATTTAAACTTCACTGATGGAGCTGGTGTAGATCTGGTCAAAAAAGACAAATGTTAACTTGAATTTTTGCCCACATCGTCTTTCCATTGATTTTATTTTAAAAATACTGTTAAACATTGCGTTAAATACCCCAGGCCATTTCGTCTTTTTTAATTTTTTTAATTCTGGATTGTTAGCATTTAAGTGACATGTCTACTAAATGCAAATTTCTTGAATCTTTGCGATCTCCATTTGATTCAGTGATAACAAGGAGCATATACCCAAAACAGAACAATGATATTTTGACAAAGATTAAAATTTTAGCTTTTAGAACCCATAGAAAAGATGGCAACTATAGACTACTGAAATTATAACGGTATGACAATTTCACCATTGGAGCCTTTGAAAGGTTAATAAGTAAGGTTAAGAATAATGATGAGGAAATTTTTTTTTTAAATTCTAGAGTGATTTTATGGTACTTTGGAAAAGGCGCAAAAACAGATTTTGGCGACAGAGACCGTACTTAATAAACAGTACATAAAATTTTACATTGATACCATGGCTATGCAAATATCTCGCGACATCGAACTATTTCTTTCTTTTTGTAAAAATTGTAACATGAAGCATTTATGGAAGGGAGAAGTAGTAAACCCCATTTTTATTCAATGTTTGTCAAAATATGCATCATAGGTGACTTTCTATTTAATTGATGTTTTCACAATTGTATGCGCCCCATTAACTACTAGGTGGCAAAGGTCGTGAATTAATAACTTTGATTATATCCGAGTTATAAACGAAAGTAGTCATAACTAATGACTTTATTTTAAGAAGTTGACATTTGAAACTTCAATTCTTATCATATTTTTATGTATCAACTGTATTTTTTAACATTGAATAAATATCTTTTTATTTACTCGCATTTACATTTTAGGCATTAAGATTAATGCCTGGCCACATTTTACAGGATTTCTGAATAATGCCTAACATCATTTAGACAATAGACTTACTGCCTAGGCGTTAGCTTATTGCCTAGGATTTAACCCCTAGGATTTAAGCTAAATGCCTTATTTCACTTATTGCCGCTAACATATGCAATGCATATTGACAACAAAAACGGAATACATATAAGAATATTCCTGCCTAATTTCAGAAAGCAAAAAAAAAAAAAACCAAAAAAAAACCAAAAACCAAAAACCAAAAAAAAAAAAAACAAACAAACAAGAAAGAAGAATTAAAAATACCCAAACATTTGCATCTCAACTTGATGACCTTATTTGTTATAAGGGCAAGCTATTGTTTTACTTTAAAAAGTTAACGTTTTAAACTTGACAGGTTAATCAACAGGATCAATGTAAATATATGACTTCAAATTGAATGGATAAAATTTACATTCTGTTATTTTGCAAAACTAATTTAATTTTGAGTGGCGGACTTGTTATAATTACAATAAGAAATTTATATCGGTCATAATTTAGACAGAATTTTTACGATTACAATAGGATTTTGTAATTTTCATGGCAAATATCTACGTTTTCTTTATGTATAAACCATAAACAGTTAATCAGAATTTCAGGGAAAACAAACAGGTACTTAACTTTTAAAATTCAATGATGCGTTTGTGCCAACCATATTTAAGCTTTTAAGTTACAAGGATTATTTGAATAATGTATGCTTCAATAAATCGATGAAACTGACTATTACATGTGTTACTGTATCGATTTATTGGTTAACCACCTTTACTCCAGGTCTATCTCATTAATTGGATTTACGTTAACTGTTATACATGTATAATGACTGACAGCGATATTTGGGTCTAATGTTCAGTATTCTTTATGTGTTCAAATATTTGCAGATACTATTTGAACGTTGGAAAGATTGTTAATAAACATTCTAAAAATAAACCGTACCAACCACATTGATATTAAAATAACGTTTGGTGGAAACATAAACTTTGAATACTCTGTACAATATCATGAATAGATCATCATCCATTTCCATTAGTGATGTGTCTGATATTCTTAAATGACTATAGTCTTTATCGGCGTAAAGCATGACACCGAAAGTTTCAGAAAATAAGAAACATGCCAGCAATGTAATTTGGATTTTAATAGTATAAGAAGATGTGAATGATACAACATCAATAACAACTATCCACCAAATATCAAAAGAAGTGGATATAACCAATTATAGGCAACCGTATGGCTTTCAACAACGAGTTTACGATATACGTTTTCAGCGAGATTTTAAATGGTTTGATTTGAAAAGCTTTTACCGCTTAGCAATGCAAAATGTGTTATATTTGTAAAGAGACTTCATTTGCCATTTGTTTTGTAAAAATATGTACATTATTTAACTGTATTTTATGATTTAAAATATGTTTTAGTGAGTACCATGCAAACCTTTGTATCAATTCCAAACTGGGATACAACTAATGTCCAAGGAAGAATAAACACAACAACAACAGTCAGTTCAACGCTTGATTGTTCTAGATGTTGTCATCAAAATAAAACATGCGACGGTTTTTTCTATGACAAAACTAGTGGACATTGTGCGACCTTTAACATTGAGGATGGCCTCATAATATATGAAAACACACTAGGAAACTTCTTTTATAGGAAGAAAGGTAAATTTGCGTTGGTTATGCATTAACCGTAACACTTACATTAAATTGTTTGCCTTATTTTAGCTTTTAACATTAACACATAATAATATATACGACATATTTGTAGGTTAAGCGTTCTGTGTATGTGTAAAGTTGTTCGTAAGCTTGTAAAGTGACATAGTTTCCAAAGGCATCACCAGAACAGTATGTCAAGTAGTCGTTTTTGGATAGTTATTTTGACACTTGTTTAGGAAATGATACAAACTTATATATATAATCATAATCTTTATGCTTTGATAGTATGAACGATACATTTTATGGTAAAGCTCTAAATTGATATCAATCCTTTATCCTGCAGTCCTCAGGTTAATGCCAGTCTATCGATTCAAATAGTTTTATATAAATGCTAAACGGCTTAACATTGTACCAGTTTATTTACCCAACACCAATATAATCATCAGAAGTTTAGAACTTCTCGAGGGTATAATGTTTATTTTGATTAAGGACTGATATGGTATCATATGCATACTGTTATACACTTAACACATGTTATATAAGACACAAACATGATTGACATCCTTATGAGCATAAATGGCTGATTCAAAACGCTTGCAATTTTTTGAATAACACCAATATTTGTTGGTATTTACTACTAAGTGTAACTCAGGCCTTTCAGGTAGTAAGTTCTGCATACCAGACTAGGAAATCATAAATTAAAATTATTTGTCTATTTGTAGATTGCCTTGATTCTAGTTATGCATACATATGGCAGTTGGACATTTGTATCACATTTTACGCCACCAAATTATCATGGAATGCATCACAGCAAAGATGCGCTGATGACAGCGGAAATCTGCTAGGTATACAAAATGGAAGAATAGAATATTTCTTTTTACCATATTTGTTGGCAAAATCTGGTAGGTTTTCACTTTTATGTTCATGCGTATAATCAGGTATTATCAAATTAAAGTCATTTGTAAATTACGAGGGAATTCCGAAAGATGAACTCGTTCTCCCATTTAAACTCACGTAACACTTAAATAGAATCAAACTCGACTGTTAGTCTTCCAACTGGTCCTCCTTAAAACCGCAATTTGAAATTATATCTGCGCATTTACGTTTTATTTGCTATCTTTCATTAGTGTGTCATTATGTGTTTTTTTCGTTACTTAGACAAGTATTTTTTAGAGGGATGTCACACATTTTATATATTTTTGTCTGTTACAATTTAAAAAGGCAAACGCAGGATGATGGGAATACCATTTTTTTGTAACATATGTTTAGTGCCAGACTTCAGACATTGCTTGCCGAAATATTATTTTCAGTACTTAAAGGGACATAAGCACCAAGATATAAAATATGATTTTTTTGTTCAATCATTTATAGAAGTGTAATAGTGAAATTAATAGCTAAAGTTTAGTTAAATTCTATCAAAATAAGCATTTTATTAGATGGCGTCTAGTCTAAAATACACACGATATGATGGTATTTGTTATCAAGTCCATGCATTGTTGATTGTTTATTAAAGACTAAGTGTAATATGTATATACGTTTGAGTATGTCAGAAATCATATATTAGATTTTGAGTCAAATCGGTAAAAATAAATTTGACAGCTAATGCCCCTTTAATACATCTGGAAATAAGAATGAAAATAAAAATAAAAAATACAATGTATTTTTGTTAAATGAAATCTTTATAATAAAATTGAAATGCAGCTGATATATTATGATACTGTGGATGCACACTGAAATTTTGCATTCGAGCCCCTCAAAGAGTTGTTGTATGCGTGCAGAGAGCATGGTATCCTTCTCTTATCGAGGCATGCGATTTAACGTTTCCATTCTGACCGCGGACATGACTGTCAAAATATACATGTCTCACAGCCAAACAGTTTGTAAAGTTCAATCTATATCCGGAATTTACTTTTCCAAACCTTCAACATCGAATGACGAGTATTTATTTCGAATTACCTTTATTCATTTTTAGTTTCGAATTATCAATCGCAAATAGTGCGATAGGTCATCACAATGTGTTTATTTTGAACATGAATCATTTATGCACATTCAGTCGTTAAACACCCCCTTTCAACGATAACTCAATCACACTCGAAAGGCAGAAACAATTGAAAGTAAAATAACAAAGATACCGAGCACCAAGTAATATTTAAAACGAAACTTCCCTTATCAAAAGACAACTCAAAAGCTCAAACAAATCAAACGAATGGAAAACAACTGTCATATCCCTAACTTGGTACAGACATTTTCTTATGTAGAAAATGGTGGATAAAACCTGGTTTTATAGCTAACCAAACCTCTCACTTGACAGTTGCATATAATTATATTGACAGCAATGTGTGTACAAAACAAACAGACAAAGTTGGTACAAATGTCACAATTTGGGGTACAACTAACAACATTTTTGCTATAATATTAATCTTTATTAAAACAAACAATTGTAATTAACAGAAATAACGGGAATACTCGGGTGGTGGATAGGTGGAACGGATGTATACCAAGAGGGAATTTTCCGATGGATGGACGGAGAACGTGTTACATACACCAACTGGGGTTATAATCAACCAGATAATATGACGGACACCGTAATACCAGGCGGAGACTGCATGAGATATGGCATTTACCCTAAAGCAAAATGGTTTGATATTGATTGTAGCAAAACATTTGCCTTCATATGCGAAAACAAAATGTTTTTGTAACGGTTAATGATATAGAGAAACAAAATGTTCAATTTTCAATTTGCATTTGTTATATTTTTCTTTCATTGCATTATTATCCAACAACAAAAACTCGGACAATATGAAAGGAACAGTCAAAATCAATCTCTAGGTCGAAGAAGTTCCGAGGCAAAACCAAAAACTGGGGTTTATCTATAGATAACCAGAAAGGTTAAAAAAGTCATTACAATCATGTGGCAACTGTCATGTTCATCAAGGTCAATTCAAAAGTCTAATTCGGTAATTTCATAATCATATAAAAGAGCACGAGGTTGTGGCTTCGATTATTGTAACATAGCTATTGTTGTACCAAACAACGATTTATTGGTGTTTAACGACCCGTTAATATATTAAATCATTATTGTGCTATTTCGTGGCGGTCAGATTGGAGTTGAGTGTACCAAACACGTGCGGAATTCGAACTCACAACATCAGTGTTGACAGGCTAGTGATACAGTAGTTCGACTACTTAGACCACTTGGCCACATGGGCCCAAACCAAATAAGGAATGCGTCCGTAAATGATGAACTCAACTTTTACACTAGGAACCATTAGTTCAATAGTGTCCTTACGAAAATACGGGATAATCAGAGCTACCTTTTAATTTTTCTTGGTGTGCATGCATGAAGTCTACCTCATATGAACAAAGAAACAAGTATAAAAAAAGATGGGAACAGCAAGTTTCCATACAACATAAAAAAAAGTTAAAAAAAAAAATTAAACACAATCCTTCTTTACTCAAATGAGAAAAAAACCTTAAAACCAAAAAAACGGCATAACATATTACATTACAACTTTATTAACAAAACATCTGCAAAAACAAAACAAAGCTAAGAAAATTTGGAACCAAAATAAAATGAAACATTTGGATAGCATTTTGAAATTCCTGCAATTAGATAAGAAAGGTTCAACGATGACCTGACGGGATAATTACTTGAAATTACTTTCTACAAATGCTTAGTTATAAATTACAAATAAGTAGTTGCATATTTTAATGATGGAACAAGAAAAAAAATATGTGGAGATGAACGTTATATCAAAATATAAGGCAACCAGGACACATACATGTCTAACAAGCAAATACATATCAGTTTGCTTATGTATTAAAGATGAATAAAAAGATACAGGTTTACGTCAAATGAGACCGCAACCCTCGACGACAAATATAATCAATATGACATCTATAAATCAAAATAAAAACAGCACGTTATCAATTTCATTCGTTCGAAGTGCATTTCAACATAGTCTTCAGCCATACTGAGTTGTCTATACAATATGTCTATCTCTAAAGCGTCCTAAGGCAATAAAAGTTGTGTAGAACAATATGAGTTTTACTTACGTATTGCTGTGTGTTTGTTTTTTTCTACATTGGCTAGAAGTATAGGGTGAGGGTTCAGATCTCACTTAACATGTTTAACCCCCGCCGCATTTCTGCGCCTGTCCCAAGTCAGGAGCCTCTGGCCTTCGTTAGTCTTTTATGATTTTAAATTTTAGTTCATTTATATGTTTTGGAGTTTAGTATGACGTCCATTTTCACTGAACTAGTACACATTTTTTGTTAAGGGGCCAGCTGAAGCCCGCATCCGGGTGCGGGATCTTGTCGCTGTGTTGAAGAAGGCCAATTGGTGGCCTTCGGCTGTTTCTGCTCTTTTGTCGGGTTGTTGTCTCTTTGACACATTCCCCATTTCAATTTTCAATTTTATTGTTACCTAATTCTCCAAATAACGAAAAACGTTTAGATATAATAAACGACTATAGGGCTTAATATTTAGATAGGACATTGATAGCTTTTCAATATAACCACTGTAATGAATCAATAGAGGTTATTAGTTATAAATTTGGTAATTAAACTAGACAATTCCCGGGAGGCACAATGAAAGTCCTGTAGTTGGACGGGAACATGAACGTATGGCCAGCATATCTATCCTTTATATACTTATTTATCATTCGAGACCTTTATTAAGGACTAGTGGACAAAGAAACAGTACGTAAAATCCAAATCAGCAAAGACATAGCACATTTGACTTTAAAAGAACTGTATAGAATAAATAGCAAAAAATCACCACAAAGAAAAACAAACATTACGACACCGTATCAAAAAAATGTTCCATATAACTATTGAAGCTCAAGTACATAACCTGCTTATATGGAATCTTGACTCTTACGTATACATTCACATATGTATTTTTTCAGTATGTTTTTTAGTACTTTTTACACAGTCAATAACATTATATTCAAACAAAACTACTTTCAGTTTTGAAATAATTAATCCAGATCACAAGAAATCTGATTCAAGACACTCCATCTGCTATTATTGATATAGGCGTTGTTTCTGAAATATGTTATATGTAAAGATTTTATTTTTGTTTGGAAGTCGCATAGAAACTATCATAATAAGTATTTATATAAGTTCCTAGAACTCTTTTCTCAATACGGATAGTTGAACTGGTTCAACTGCGATGCCGGGTTGATGAATGTTATAATATAAATTTAAGGAGATGTAGTATAATTGTTAAAAGAACAAACTTTCATCCAGAAACTAATTGACGAGGATTTAAACAACAATAAGTACTGTATGAACTTCAACAATGAGCAAAATCTATACCGTATAGTAATTAATGAAAAGGATCGGCACGATAAAGTATGAAACAATTTAAAAGAGAAAACCCACGACCCGATTGATTCTAAAACATCAAACGAGAAACAACTAAGGCAGAAAACAACCAGCCCCAACAACTTACTGAGTGAGGGGATTCTGACTTGGGACAGCTATATAAAGATTGTGGCGGGAATAAAATTGTTTGTTAGCCCCACCAACTCATAGTATGGTACACTGTTGTAACAGGAAAACATAGTCTATCAAACTATAAAATTCAGTTGGAAAACTCTGGAATCATCAGCAAAGCAACAAACACACACAAACCATAACAAAAAGTACCGATATAAGAGAATTCACAATAGCTCTGAACACATTGCCTTGTGCAACATGTGCAATGCTACAATATAAGTATTGATAAGATGTAGGGCGAAAAGTGGTCATAATTGTATATAGTCACACATATTTAGTTATGTGTCAATCTTATTTTAAAAGAACAAAGTTCGCTTAAGATAATGGCATCGGGCACTAGTATAGAACTGACAAAAAATGTGTTAATTGCGTACACATTAATACTGTGTAAATTGTTAAATTATTGTTTGATACATTTTACATAACTGGAACACGTCGAACGCCCAGTAGATTGACTGAGGTATACAAATTTGAGCATCTGAATTTCTCTCATCAGGCAGCAAAACCAATTCTAAGGATAGGGCAGCTTCGGCTCACACGAAGAATGAATACAGAGCCACGAGGTCCTGGAATTACAACAATGCATTTGATACATTATTTAGGGAGAGTTTAACGCTCTTCGTTTAAAGAACCATTGTAACCATTTATTCAGGCATCCGTAGTTGGCATGTATGCAGGTCACTTTTTTTTCCCTATCCAAATACCTATTTTCCTATGGCAGCCGACAATTCTTGTCTGAATCCAGGTCGATACGACCTGCATATCCATTTATGTGAATTAATTTTTAAGTTTTTCTCGTTCTTAATTAGCCTGACAATTGTGCCAATAGGAGTTAAGCTAACAACAACAAAATAATTTATTTCGTAAGAAAACATTTTTTTCGTCACGATACTTTATAAGATGAGAGATGTGTAGAAACCTTTGACTTAAATTTAATCCAAAGGCAGAGGTACAAAGAAAGGACATTTTCCTTTTTCTAAGACTTCAAAATAGTTTGCACCTGTTATATTAAATGTACTTGTCATCAAAATCTTTTAGTTTCATTACAGAAAAAAACCTTTATCTCCATATCGCTGTCATTTGCATATCAAATGCATAGCGAAATGACTTCTGCGTTTTAACTTTTTTTGATTCGAGCGTCACTGATGAGTCTTTTGTAGAAGAAACGCGCGTCTGGCGCAAATACAAAATTTCAATCCTGGTATCTATGATGAACTTATTTGCACTGAAGAAAACAAATAAGAACACGAGACCATCTCCCATAGTTCAATAAAATATATTCAAATACAGTCACTTCTGGTAATAAATGTTCTCAAATTTTATAAAAAAAATTAAAAAGTTTCGAAACGAACATTCCCGATAAAAAAGCAACAATTAAATTAGACGGTCGATTGTTTCTGTATTTCCTGTAGACGTCAACGCAACGGTTTTAGTCTTTTGTTTTTCCCTTGAATTTGTACTACATTTAAAAAAAAAATGCCACCTCATCGAAAAAATGATATATTTCGTTTTTGGATACATGAAATACGAAACGCGCCTCTGTCGTAACAAATTATAAGCCAGTTATCTTTGAACAAATGTTTGGTTGTCAATGCTCTCCAGCTTCGTACTTCATTTGGCGTTATCAACCTTTCTGATTTGAGCGTCACTGATGAATCTTTTGTAGACGAAACGCGCGTCGGACGTACAAAATTCAATTCTGGTATCTGTGATGAGTTTATTTTCGTACGAAGGATCAATTTATTGTTTTTACTTTCTGTGTTTATCATGTATGGTAATGTAGTTATAGTGAACAATATCCGAAATCCAAGTTATGAAAGTTTAATTGAAAATAAAATGCGAACATTTTGTTTTCTATTTTTAATACGCGTTGACGAATAAGTATATACAGAATTCGGTGAATGTTTTTTTAAAGGACATGTTTGAATATGAAGTAGAAAAGCTTTTATTGTTTTCAAAATCAAAGGTTAGACTATTATATTTCACAAAGTTCAAGGATATGTACACAACTTCCCTGATAAAATATCATGAATTAGAATAGTTGATTGTTATAATTGTTGATAAGTTATACTAAAAGTATCCAAACACTCAGTGTTTTTTCATGCCATGTGACTTGAAAATATAAGTTAATTATTTCAGTCATATGTCGAACTTTCCGACATACGGGAATACGAAAATGACTTTATTCGATCAATTTTCCTACAAATTCTAATTTGCAGACAAGTTGTATCAACCGTAATATTCAGTAATACAGTTTTTTGGGTCAAAAATGGAATTTAATTGTCGGTAAGTACTAAACATAATGAATGTCATGCATTTGATCCCTTTCAAGGAGACAAAATGTTACATCTTCTGATTTTGGACAAAACGTAATATTTCTTAATGTCAAAATGAAGTATTGGTATTCATTTGGTTTATCATTCAATGTGCAATTTTTGCAAGTATTATATAGCTCTTTAAAAGACAATTATACAAAAATTTAATCAAGAATTGAAATTTTAAGTGAACATACAGTCAAATCTGTCTATAAAGGAAATAATGGGAAAACAGGTTATTACCTTTTATAATCATGTGTTCTTTATTAATAAGAGGACAACAAATGTGTACGCCAGACGCATGATTCGCCTACAAAAGACGCTTTAGTAATGCTTTAATAAAAATAAAATTAAAAAGGACAAAAGTCGAAGTATAGAGATGGTCGATGGAGCTACCTTACATGTTTTAAGGTACTGTCCATGGATACAATTATGTAATCTGACATACTATGTAAGGCCTTGAATTTCATTGTTTTTTTATTTCAATGCCTAAATTGTGTTTAATTTTTTGTCCATCATCATCACTGCAAAATACAAAGCAGAATGATAAGTATCGAAGATCCGTTTTGTTTTTCCTGAAAATTTGGTTATTTTTAGAGTTCTTTAAGGTCTACCTTATGTTTTTTAAACTGAATCCGGATAATGAATACGGGCTAAAAACTACAAGTTTGGGTCCGGTCACTTCCGAATTTAGTTGTTTGGAGATTTTTAGTTAGGACATTTTACGTGTGAAATTAGCTTGAACTGCCCTATTAGAACATATAACCAGTCCATTTTGCCACTGAAATGGGTGCCTTCTGCCAGCGTTAGACAGTACACGCCATATGAAGAACAAATAAATACGTGTGTGGTTTGTTTTTTATTTTTTGTTTGTTTTTTGTTGTTTTTTGTTGTTGTTTGTTTGGTTTTTTTTTTTGGGGGGGGGGGGGGGACTACTCGTTATAAGCTTTATGTTAAAATGAATGTTGGACGGAACAGCTGACCCTTACTTGATAAAAAGTAGACTGATTTGTGTGTTGAATAAAATCCATTATTGTATATGTAAAACATCTATACTTTTATCTTGCATACATCTAAATTAACACTGAATACAAAACTAAAACTTTGACATTAATTTCAATATTTTTATTTAAAATGAATTAATGTTCCTTACTTTTTCAAATTGTTTTCATGTAATGTATCTTGTAGTTCATGTACTATTTGCCTCAAATACTACAGTGTAATGACATTTGTACAGTTTCAAAGTGCATTAATCAAAAGAGTTATGGCCATTTTCACCTTTATTTAGTCAACTGAATTAAAACATGCAAACCAACCAGTATTCGTTGAACTAGTTTTTTTTTCTGCTGAGGGACACAAATCTATAGAAGTTTAGGCACGGCAACCTTTCCTTTTGTTTTTTTATTTTCTTCATAATAAAATAATCCTGCATAATCAAAGTACTATATTTTAGACATTGTATTCACCAACTCAACACTCAATGTATGTATTTATCAATCTGTTTGTATACCAAGTTTATATTTTAATGTCACTTTCAATATTCGTCTAAAAATTAAACTTCTAAAATAACTCATTGCATTTCGTTCATTTTGAAGTCTTACTGTTTGACCGGATAAGTAGATGTAACCATATTTCTGCATTAAAGGACACAAAGCTTCACAATAACTATTTTTGTACGTAAATGTATGCTTATTAACTTAAATTGCTTTAGGATTTATCGGGAATATTTACAAATTCACATAAAGCTGTAAAACTTATAACAATCAAAAACTAATTATGCACTGCCAATGACCAAAAAATACCCTTTCTTTGAATATATACTTTAACAAAATATGCTATTTTTATACTTGTTTTGTAAAATTGGCAAAACAAATATTTACTTTACCTTGAACATGTTGAACTGTGATACTTTGAATACCTTTTTTTAACTAAAAAAATAAATAAAATCATCTTCCTTCATCTTTTACCTCGTTAACATAGAAGATCGATAGGGAAGCACATACACTTAGCTATTTGTTTACTACATCACTGGCCTGGTACTACAAATAAAGTTGTACAATTACTAGACCGAATACACTGTGGTTCGTTATCATGGGATATATTCAGCCCAGTAGTAAACACTCTGGGTGACATAAAATACAATGCTTGCTGCTTTTTTGTTATTTAACTGTAAACAAAGTGTTTAGATCATTCAAGAGACTCAAGTTGTTTTACAACACGAAAAAGAGGATTTTCCCAGATTCTTTAAATTTCTGGTTTTGAATGCCCTTCAACTTCGTTATCTATATTCGGTATATACACCGATGTATATTATGTAGACGACAGATTTCAATATATGGTATACTTATTTATGAGCATGGTAGCTTTTAGGTCTTTTCGCTTCATGCACGTGAAAGTATGACAAGGAAAAAGATATTATTTAAGTGAACTTTAATATTCTCATTAATTGTTAGTCACATACTTACACAATCTCAGTCAACAAACAAAAAAAGAAGTTATATGAGATTCGAAATATCAACAAATTCCAGAAATGGTATGTGAACTTCACAATTTTAAATTCAATATTCAATTTCAATCTCTAATATTTCCAGTTTCAATGTGTGGAACATTTTAATGTTGTATTTCTGTTGTGTCGTAGTTCTCCTCTTATATTTGATGTGTTTCCCTCAGTTTAAGTTTGTAACCCGGATTTGTTTTTTTTCTTAATCAATTTATGAATTTCGAACAGCGGTATACTACTGTTGCCTTTATTCAACACTATAAATTCTATATTAAGATCAAAATTATAACAGCAATCTAAAAGAATACCAGTCTTGAGACCAAAAATGTTAACGCTATTTAAAAAACTGAGATAAAAAAATTATCCCAGCAGCATGTATGTTGAGAAGGAACAAACGCTAAGTTCATAATCTAAATTATGTGCTTTTTAATGATGATCTTCTTTGGTATAGACAGTCACTTTGTTATCCAGGGTGTGAAAGTTTAATGTCTTCAGTTTAAATAAGTACATACGATATTTATCTAAACACACGCAAGAATACCTTTATCGTTTTAAAAGAACCCATAAATTCAAAAGTATCATTTATCAACACCTTAAGAAGCACAATCATCCTTTTAAATATTCAACAGTTCAACCTTTAGAAGTAGTAAATAAGCAGCCTGGGGAATCTCATTAAAATATTGTACGATCACGAAAAATAATTGAATTAAATTGGATTAAAAACTTACAGACAGTCTATCCTCTCGGTCTTAATGACAATATCATGGGAATTGGTAATATATCTAGAACAGATTCTGTTAACATTTTTGATATAGTTTCTAAAACAGTTCGTAAAAACCGTTCTCATGGGCGTAGAATAAATCGCAATCAAAGAAAATTGCGTAATAACAATACAAATATTTCGGACCTAATTTCTATTTCAAAAAACAACGGTAGACATTATCTATTAACCAAGCTCTGTTTTTTACCTGTTAAGAAATTACATCAAATTTTGGAGGAATGCAACACAAATCCATATTGCAGTCCTAAGTATGAAATTGTCCAAATTATAATTGCATATTGTTATTCTAAATTGTTTCCAAAAATTGATCGCCCTGAAGATCACAATTTTTTTTTTTATTAAAACTAAATATGTCAAGAAAGGTTTTGATTTTGTAAATATTGCCGGTATTTTTAATGATCATTCTGTTAAAGAACAAATTCCTGGTTATTTTGATAATACTGAACTCCCTCTTATTTGTTATGTTTACAAAAAATCTACCCGGAAATATGTGTTTAATTACAGCGAAGTGTGTAAAGATGTTAATATCAGTGACAATACACCTACGTCATGAAATTGCAGTAGTTCCGAATACATGTATGGCCCCAGTTCCCATGTTATAACAGGAGACCTTAACATCGTTCGTGACCGAGAGTTGAAATCATTCCTCATTAAAGGACCTAAATGTCGTCCCCCGTCAATAATTAATTGGAATGAGTGTCGTAACATCATCAACGACTCACTCCGTACTTACTGCTCTAAATGGATAAAACGAGAAAAAGCTGACAAGAAATCATTAGATTTTTTTTTATTCGATAATGAACACAGTTGATATATTTATTCAACATTTTAAAGAACATTTTACTCATAACAATAACCATAATAGCCCAGTTTCTCGTATCAAACATAAGCTCTGCACAAAACTCCTTACAAATATAGATTTATTTCGTCTTCAAGCCATTGTTCCACTATGTCACTAAACTATCTATTCTACTTACTATTACACTTGGTACAATCAAAAACCTGGTAATAAATTGTTCAAATATGGCCTTTGAAAATAGTGGAATAAATTACTTTTGGAGTGTCAAAAATTCGTTGGAAGTACTTGATAAAGTGTATGCTTATATTGGTGATTTTGAATCTGTTCAAAGTTTTGATTTTTCTACCCTATATACCACTTTGCCTCATAATCTTATTAAGAAAAAATTCACACACCTGACTAAATGGACATTTAAAAAGTCGGAATGCGAATATATATGTTCGAACTCTTTTAGGTAATTTTTTAGTAACAACAAACAAAAGAACTATGTTAATTGGACCTGCTTTGATACTATAACTGCCCTTGAATTTTTACTAGATAACATTTTTGTTCGCTATGGAGATTCCGTATATCGTCAGAATATCGGAATTCCCATGGGTACTAACTGTGCACCACTTATTGCGGACCTGTTTCTGTATTGTTATGAGTTACAGTTTATGACTAAAATCAGCAAAGACCGATCGAAACAACATCTGATTCAAAAATGTAATAACACTTAGATATTTAGATGATATATTGGCTCTCAATAATGACATCTTCGGTATGTACACTAAAGAGATTTATCCTGCCGAACTGAATTTAAATAAAGCTAATACTAACAATGAACACTGTCCTTTCCTGGATCTTGATATCTATTTAAGAGAGGGACGAAATATACCAGAGGGACAGTCCAAATCATATATCGAAAACAAACTGACAACGCCATGGCCAAAAATAAAAAAGACAAACAGACAAATAATAGTACAGATGACACAACATAGAAAACTAAAGACTAAACAACAAAAATCCCACCAAAAACTGGGGTGATCTCAGGTGCTTCGGAAGGGTAAGCAGATCCTGCTCCACATGTGGCACCCGTCGTGTTGCTTATGTTATTACAAATCTGGTAAATAGTCTAATTCGGTAAGTCACATTCGTGAAAAGGGAAGGGTATTATAGTTACGACATAAGGAACATATCCGATATCATCTGTGAAACGGTTATTCCATAACGGTCAACCAACTTGTGATGGCGTCCTTAAAATTTTAAAGGGACGACTTCAACTTTCACCATTTGGAACTCTTGGTTTAATAGCTTCCTTGTGAGCAGCAATCCTCTATTAAGGAAATCATGATAGGAAACACAAGCTCGGGAATATCGTATCAATTGGGAGATATATACTCCGTATGCAGGCGCTGTTGCTACATAGAAATGGAAAGTTCACAATTGGGAAGCTGAAATCATCTCTTTTGTCGTAAAGTTTTGTTTTCAACCGACCCTCATTGTCAATTTCTAGATGTAAGTCAAGATATGAGGCAGACTTAACTGTATCTGTAGTATCCTTTATCTCTAGTTCGATGGGATAGATTCGTTCAAGATAGTCACCAACTTTTGTATTATTTAGTGAGAGAACATCCATCTATATAGCGGAACGTAAAGTTAAAGGATATTGCTAACTTCTTATCTTTCTTCCTAAGAAGTTCCTGTATGAAGCCAGCCTCATAATAATAAAGAAATAAGTCGGCAAGAAGAGGGGCACAATTGGTTCTCATTGGAACTCCGACAGTCTGTTGATCAACCCGTCCTCCAAACATAACAAATATGTTGTCAATCAAGAAATCAAGCAACTATCTATCACGGGAAGCTTAATACCAAAATGTATGATAAAAGAGATGATTTGTCATTTCCTATTGTTAATTATTCATTTGTAGATGGTGACGTTCCCTTGTCACCATCTTATGTTGTTTATATATCTCAACTTGTTCGATTCGCTCGTGTATGTAACAACGTATTTAATTTCAACGAAAGAAATTTCTGTATAACTGAAAAATTATTACACCAGGGTTTTCGATATCACAAACTAGTCAAAACATTTACTAAATTTTATCATCGGTACAAGGACATCATTCGTAAATATAAATCAACATGCAGACATCTTATACGTTCAGGTATTTTACATCCAATATTTTATGGTAATATTCTTTACAAAGCACAAAAATGTCGGCATTCACCTCACAAGCTAACCAAACCTTTAAACAGACTTATTCGGAAGGGATATAGTTACCATACTGTTGTCAGGTCATTAAGGATTGCATATTTTGGTATTAATATTGATTCACTCATAGGGTCTTTGCATCGGAAATAAACACATTTATTCTAAAACCAGTTGTTGGCATGATACGGGTTATGTTCTTCTCATATATTTTATGATGGTATGATACTAAACCCCTAACGAGAGGGATTGTACCTGATTTTCATATGATGAAGACATAATCTTTCAATCAGTTTAATTGAGGTCTGGAGCTGGCATGTCAGTAACTGCTAGTAGTCCTTTGTTAATTTATGTATCATTGTCATTTTGCTTAGTTTTTTTTTGTTACATATTCTGATATCGGACTCGGACTTCTTGTAAAGTGAGTTTTACTGTGCGTTTTGTTATTGGCTAGAGGTATAGGGGGAGGGTTGAGACCTCACAAAACATGTTTAACCCCGCCCCCTTTTTGAGCCTGTCCCAAGTCAGGAGTCTCTGGCCTTGTTAGTCTTGTATGTTTTTTTTTAATTCTAGTTTCTTTATATGTTTTGGAGTTTAGTGTGACGTCCATTTTCACTAAAACAGTACACAATTTTATTTAGGGGCCAAATGAAAACCACCTCCAAGTGCGGGTTTTTCTCGCTGCGTTGAAGACCCATTGGTGGCCTTCGGCTGTTGTCTGCTCTTTGGTCTGGTTGTTGTCTCTTTGACATATTCCCCATTTCCATTCTCGATTTTATTTTTATTACTGGTTATATACACATATGATTAATTTGTTCGGTTTTAAACATGCATGACTTTTTTCTAAGTTAGTTACATCCTAATTGATTTTGAGTCTAATGATAGTTTAATTAAATGAAGGAAAGATAAATTAACTTTCTGACATATTTTTTTTACGTTCCGCTATAAAGATGATGTTCTCTCACTAAATAATACAAAATTTGGTGACTATGTTGAACGAATCTATCCCATCGAACTGGAGATAAAGGATACTACAGATACAGTTAAGTCTGCCTCATATCTTGACTTACATCTAGAAATTGACAATGAGGGTCTGTTGAAAACAAAACTTTACGACAAAAGAGATGATTTCAGCTTCCCAATTGTGAACTTTCCATTTCTATGTAGCAACATTCCAGCAGCGCCTGCATACGGAGTATATATCTCCCAATTGATACGATATTCCCGAGCTTGTGTTTCCTATCATGATTTCCTTGATAAAGGATTGCTGCTCACAAGAAAGCTATTAAACCAAGAGTTCCAAATGGTGAAGTTGAAGTCATCCCTTCGTAAATTTTACGGACGCCATCACGAGTTGGTTGACCGTTATGGAATAACCGTTTCACAGATGATATCGGATATGTTCCTTATGTCGTAACTACAATACCCTCCCTTTTCACGAATGTGACTTACCGAATTATACTATATACCGGATTTGTAATAACATAAGCAACACGACGGGTGCCACATGTGGAGCAGGATCTGTTTACCCTTCCGGAGCACCTGAGATCACCCCCAGTTTTTGGTTGGGTTTGTGTTGCTTAGTCTTTGGTTTTCTATGTTGTGTCATCTGTACTATTATTTGTCTGTTTGTCTTTTTATTTTTGGCGATGGCGTTGTCAGTTTGTTTTCGATCTATGAGTTTGACTGTCCCTCTGGTATCTTTCGTCCCTCTTTTTTAGATTATATCTGCTATCCATGTTGTTCATATTGGATGGATTTTCTGCACAGTCAACAGACACAGACTGGTTTAATTATTTTCTGAAAACAGGAACATCATGTAAGATCAATACATGTCGTCAAAATGATCCAGTCTGCGAATGCTATCTGAGTATAGAAATCGACTTATCAATGTTGTACAAAGGGGCCGGATCACCGGCGATTTTGTTGAAACCACAAAATGGTGCGGCTGTTAATTTCAATACTGGTGCAGAATTCGAAAAAAAAATTGAGGACAGTTTTATTTTAGCGGATGGATTCAACTCACAGCAAGTTATTTCTATAAACGGAAGATTTCCTGGACCAGTTATCACTGCATATGAAAATCAAAACATGATCGTCCACGTTAGGAACTTGATGCATACTGATAGTTTGACTATTCATTGGCATGGAATTCACCAAAGATCGACCCCTGAAGCGGATGGTGTAGCGTTTTTAACACAGTACCCATTATTACCAGGCCAGAGCCAAACATACAAATTTAAAGCATTTCCATTTGGAACCCATCTTTACCATGCACATATTGGCGACCAAAGGACAATGGGACTATATGGGCCATTTATAATTATTCCAAAGGGCCACGAAAAGGTGTCACGACCACAAGAAGGAAAACATGTTTTTGTAGCAATCTTGCAAGACTGGAATCACGACGACAGTTCTGAAGTATTATATCAAAAAATGTTGTGGGGTGATTACGACCGAGAGACAGGAAAAGCATATACAGAGACTCTTGATCCATCTGGTGCAAAATATAGTCGATTCCGATTCCATTCTGGTTTAATTAATGGCCGTGGACGTTATTATTCATCGTCTACTGTAAACAATGAAGCTCCACTGTATAGATTTATTGTCGAACAGCATCAAAAATATAGATTTAGGGTGATAAGTGCTGCCACTTTATATCCATTCCGCGTATTTGTAGAGAAACATCGTCAACTATATATTGTAGCCTCAGATGGAAGAGAAATCCAGGAAGAAGCGACTGAGTCATTTATAATTCATCCTGGAGAAAGAATAGACTTTATGTTATATACCGATAACGTTCCTGGTACATATTTACTTGTCGCTGAGTCTTTAGAAAATGGACTGGAACAGAGAAATGAATACCATGCAGCCGAAGCTATAATGTTTTACAAGACGTCTCCTACGAAGATAGATTTAAATCCATCAAAGGCGGATAATAATGACTGCATTCTTGATGCTTGCAGAGTTTTCAATTGTCCTTTTGAATATTTTCCAGTGCAGGAAAATCGGTATTGCTTTACTTTTAACGATGTGCCATCGAATGATCCAAACTCGAAGACAGACGAGGTTGAAGGTGATGCAACAGAACTATTCTTTAATTTTGGATTTCCCGGTGTAAACGGATATACACCCGGTTCCGTGAACGGTCACAAATTTCGTCCTCCGGTCGTAAATGCATATACAGAGCCAAATAAAGTAGACTACAACTGCCGATATTGCAACGCATCCAATATTTGTGAATGCACGTATTCAAAAACGATAGGCCGTCCCAATAAAAACAATATATATCAATTTGTTCTTACAAATATTGGCAATGGTGCCGGATGGTCACATCCAATACATTTACATGGACATTCGTTTTACATTATGAAAATAGGATTTGGTAAATATGACAAAACTACTGGTAATATTATCTCAAACGGGGGACAGGACACAATTGATATAATTTGCAACGATAAAAGCGGATATTGTAACGATGCAAAATGGAGAAATGAATCGTGGTCGGAAGGGAAACACCCTGACTTGAATTGGAAGGATCCTCCACAAAAAGATACAATAATTGTACCAACCGGAAGTTACGTTATCATCAGGTTTAAGGCCGATAATCCAGGTGTTTGGTTCTTCCATTGCCACATTGACTTGCACAATACGAATGGGATGGGAATGATCATAAATGAATTACCGGAGCTTCAGAGAAATACTGATGAAGGTAAGAAAATATTAAAATGATGTCCTTTGTTTCCTTAATCTTTATGTATTCATAAAACTAAAACATCACTATGAAAAAGTTCAAATTGTACGTAAAATGTAATAAAAAAATTTTTTTTTGGTTTGAATAACCATATTTATAAATTCCGAGTATGAAGAGCAGCTATGTTACATACCATACCATTCGAGTTTTGTACAGTAACACATACAAGTATATACATTATCATAAAATAGATTTTAAAAAGTTGAATTCTTCATTATAATTTCTGGTGAAAGAATCGATTTCATCTTGTTTGATAACACAATGAAGGAAAATACGTTCTAGTCGCCAAAAGATTAGAATATGAGGTCTGACAGCGTAATGTAAACCATGTTGCCAACGCTATCATCCTTTATAATATTGATAAGGTACTGTTGTTTTTGTATTTATATTCACACACTTTAGAAAATGTAATAAATTTGAAATTTCATAAAACCTCAAGTAATGTCTGTTACATAACTTATTTGCTTTTAATAATAAGATTGGGCACTATCCTGCAGAAACGAATCGCAGATGTCTCTCATTTAATGATGTCAAATCAGTCCATTTAAAACTTCGCACAGAGGAAGCTATTGGAAATTCAGAGGAACTATTTTCCAATTTACATTTCCTGGTGATATAGGATACCCATTCATATTGTTAATTGAATGTTTTTAAGGATTTGTGATTCGTTAAAACTTGATCACATGTACATTTGTATTTGCTCAGTACTGTTGAATTTAGCTTTTCGTAGGTCAAAAACAGCATATTGCACAGGGTATACAGCATGTTACTAAAAATATATTTTCTAGAAATCCCCAATTTTACATCGTTCATGCAATAGTTGTCGATAAATGAAATAATATGCAGCCTTTGATTAATGTCAATACGATGTTATATCGATCTAGAGTAGCATATCGAACTCGGACTTCGTCCTCAGTCCATTTGCTTCTCTTTGGTCAATATAAACTCGTATCGACCTCATACAAAGGCTATGATTGTATAGTATTGGTAAATGATCCCCAGTTTTGACCACCCTCAGTCGTGTATATGCCAAGAATGATCAAGTAGATTATAGAGATGATGTGTGCACTACTACCACAATGGGTGCATGCACTTATCTGAAATCCTTGACAGTCTATATCTAATATTTGAAATGGAAATGGTTCTGGTTTGTCTCATCCAATATATATCATACACATAAACACTAGTTTAATGTCGTGAACATGGCTTTTGATAAATACGATTAGAATTCAGACAGTTGAATGGAGAACAATCCCGATCAAAGTAGTAATGATACTTTAAAGATGCCGCTCTTATGCACAGTGCAGCAATGGTTCATAGTTTAGCGAATACCATTCATTTCTGAATGGGAATAACCCAATCCAAAAAGATTCAACAATAGTCCAAACCGGCGGTTATGTGGTCATCTGAATAAAGGCAGACAACCAATGAGATTTTCCCTTGTCGTGTAGATTCAAACAATACAAATGGCATTGAAATGAAGGTACATTAATCACTAATAAACAATCCAATGGTTTCTATTGATTTTTAAATTTGTGAGTTTTCTTGAAAAGATGATGATTTTAAAAATATTTATTTATCTAATATACAATGCATAATTTCGTATCCAAGGAGGTAAATGTATCTGTGACTCTTTATAAAAGAAATGAAATAATTACATTTATTTGCGTCAGAGTTATAATCTATGATAATTTATTTACTGCGTCTAATTTTAGGAATATTTTGTAGCAAATCGACAATTTCTTTTATCACTTTGTTCTTATAATTTTTTTGCGTTTGCAGTAATAATCTATGATGAGTTCACTTACTACGTCTTATTATGGGATTTTTTTGTTATAAATCGAGCATTTTTCTATAAAAGCATTTTTCTATAAAACTTTTTTTCCGGCAAAATATAAGATTTACATGAATGTGTTTACATAAAGACCAAGTCACTGATCAATTTATCAATACACACTATCAGCATGATCATGCGATATTTAACACAAAGGTTGTTTTACCCTCACCGCCACCTTTTTACAGAAATATATAGTCTCAATCGTATTTTGCACAAAATTTCGAATGATACAATCTGCAAGAACATTTTTTATTCAAGTCTATAAATTCAGTTTTTTATCTGCAAATTAGAGGAAATTTGAATACTCGTATTTAAGGGCCAATTTGGTGAAACATCGAACCTTCTCTTGTAACAAAGCAATTCAACAATCACCATAAAGATAAAATCAAATTGAGTTAAACATGAAGGCTGGATAATTATGCAGACATGATGAACGAAAGGTCTTGTCGTTGTTTCAGCTCTTTCATATTTGTTTTCTGTAAAGTGTTTTGGTATAAATTAGGCGATTAATTTTCTCTTTTGAATTGTTTTACATTTTTTTATGTGGAGTTTATAGCCGACTATACGACATGGGTTGTGTTAATTATGTTAAAGGCCGTACGGTGATCTATATAGCTATAATTGCGTTTATTCACTTTATTTGAACTCGTGTAGATAGGTGTCTCATTGGCAATCATACCACATCTTTTTATAATTATTTTCACCGTCGCAAAAACACAAAGTCATGTATTGTTTAAATTGTATTTCAGGTGCAACAAACAACTGTAAACGAGATAGGATAATAATGATAATTTTCGTAGTTCTAACATCTGTTTTAGTAGTTATATTGATGACACTATTTACTTGCATTTGCTGTCCTCGTAGCCGAAGCTGCTTTGACTGCATAAAAAGGTAAGAATAATCAACTTTCTAAACATGGACTCATTTCTCAATTACATACAAATATTTGACATTTTCTGTTGAAATAAAAAATAAATGAAGCCTTGTCAATTCTTATAACATTAAACTTTTTTGATACTTTTATTAAAAGTTTCTAAAAAGTAAAAAAATATGATTGTAACGACAACATAGATGTCTCTAATAAAAAAGCAAGATGTTAAAAACGTGTTACAATATGTTAATGTGACGTTCAAAATATTTTGTCTTGTTATACTAATAGACAATATAAAATGATATAAAAAATAATACAAAATTATGGTTCATTACGAGTTAAAATAACTTAAACAACATCACAATTGTCAAAGTAAGTCATGATTATGTAATTGATTGTATGATAAGATAACTGTTTTTAGAACATAAATCCGAAAACCAAAAAGTACTATAAATCTATCGATAACATCCCCCAAATGTCAAATGTTCATAAGACATTACTTTTTCTGACAACATTATTCATGTTTTTGCATTTTTTGTCTAACATATTGGCATTAGAGCTCCAAAAGAGAGGCGAAAGACACCAAAGGCATATGCAAACTCATTAGTCTAAAACAAACTGACAATGCCATGGCAAAAAACAAATAACTACGAAAAGGCAAACTACACAAAACTCAATATAGAAAACCAAATACTGAACAAAACAAATCCCTCCAACACCGGGGTGATCTCTTGTGCCCTGTAAGGTTAAGCAGATTCACCTCCACATGTGGCACCCGCCACGTTGCTCATTAAACTACAAACCCCGTGATAAGTCGTATATGGTAGATCACATTTTATGAAAAAATGTCGAATTGTGGTAACAACAATGAAAAATATACGTCTCTTCAAACATCTTCTTACATTTAGGGCAAAATAGAAAACAAAAACTGTCAAAATAGCTAAATTTTCAGATTTTGTCATTAATACATGGATTTGAGTAACAACGTTTCCAAAGAGATATTTTGATATTTTTGCTAAAAATTCAACATGTGCAACCCTTCAAGGTTATGTTGATCTTATTAATAAATGAACAGTTTACATATAATCTGTAAACATCAGTGCATAACGGATAATTTATATATATATATATACCTAACATTATACTCATTTTATTTCAAAATGTTTACTGCAAATCATATTGTCTATTCATTTCAGAGGAGATTATCGGGAATTTTGAACAACAGGAGACGGAAGGGAACGCTTTTAATTTGGTATAACAAACAGAATAACTGTATAAAGTAAAATAATATCATGAATAAAGAAGATGCATGGAGTATTTTGTTAATGTGAATGATTAACAATCAAAAATTATATAGAAAAGGCAACACAAGGTGAACTTAAGGACAATGAAAACACTACTATATCATTAATTACACTCAAATTAGCAGGGATCTAATACTTTTAAGTGTAGAAGTACATGGTAAATCATAAAGACTTACGTACGTACGGGCACTGCCTTAACATTTTCTGGCTTTTTGTTATTGTAAAATGTCATTGCGGAAAATATTAATTAAGATGGCTTGTTTCTACAAATGCTGATCAATTTTAGACCGGGTTTGACGAAGTCCAACGGTTTGTACCACAATGTACTAAATGATGATTGATTGAGAAAAGTGGCAACCTAATTCGTGAGATTAAATCCTCTCCCAGTTTTCAAACGTGATGCACATAAAGATTGCAATTATGTTAAAGACGTTCCCTGGCTGTTGGAGATTTGTTTTTGTTGATTTTTTTTTATATTATGGAACTTAGTAATTGTTTAAAAAACTTACAAAGGATGAAACCAGTATTATCTTTTAAACCTAACAAAAAGTTTGCAAATATTTGTAAGTTGTGGTCCTGTTCTTATGGGATTGTATACAAATGAAAACAACACTGTGTAAATGTCTGAAGAGCGTTTTTGGATTTACCTGGTCTTCATTTCACAACAAATCATCCGCTTAAACTTGACCGTAAGTCATAAAAAAGTCAGCATTTAGTTATAAGATGTTTGTGAAACCTTAGTCTGATATCTAAAGGAAACTATTTGAAAGCCAAGGATGTTAAAGAAGCGACATACGTAAAGAGCTGTGTGACTTAAAGGACATAATTTGAAGACTTATTTACCATATCTTAAGTCCTGAGAACTTCTTCATTTTTTTCAATTTTTTGTGTTTTAATCTTTTGAAAGTTCAGGAAGTTTGCGAAAATATTGGGTTGAACATCTTCTTTCCTGGAGGTTAAAAAGAAGCAATTTTCAATTTTCACATAGAAATAATGGACATTGACAATTCTACATAGTTTTATAAATATTCTATATCTTTTAAATGGTAACATTGACAACTATCGATAAATAGAAATAAGTTTTACAGGTATCATGTGATAAACTATAACGTTTTTCGTTTGGAATTTGAACAAGAAATTTAAACATAACAGGAGAAAGTTTGCAAAAAGAATGAGGTTGTGTACCTTTAATCTTTGGCTTGATTTAGATCTTTTCTTACATCTATATTCAAAGATTTAAATGTTCAGTATTGACCATGGTCCATTGTTCAATAAACATTCTACCAAACCCTTCAATTTAAGTCTTTGGTTGATTTTAATAGAAACTTTTTAAGTAAGACAAGATTTACAGATATCTAGTGACTACGTTTCTTTTCATTACGCGGTTAGTATTTATTGACAAAAATAAGTCGTTTGACCTGCTTCTGCTGACCTTGGAAAAATAATAATCTGATTCTCCATTTACTAAATTTTTAACTTTCACTCTATAGGAAGCTCATAATTATATATTATTTAAGAAAAAAAACTTCTAATCAGCATCTCATTTTATTCAAAAGCAAGCATATGTAATCAAATTTAGGCATTTCATTCATTTTATTGCTAATTATTGTGACATTGCAAATATAGGTGGTATGCGGCTCTGTTGATTCATAGCAATTGTTTTAATAAAAAAAATTATACTCACATAGCTTTTGTGATTATTTATTGGTTCAATTTGTTTTAAAATGATTATTAACTGGAATTTTTGTATGCTTTCATTTACGCATTCTTTTATTTGAAACATTCGTTTAAACATCAGTTTTCCCCGAAGATTCTGCTGTTCATGCCAAAATATTAAGATCATAGTAAAACTATAATATTTTGAACTGACATCGATATATTTCTTTTCCAGTATTATATGATTTAGTAACACAAGTAAACCAGTTTTGATCTTAAATGGTCATACTGCTTTAAACAGCTCTTAAAACAATCTCGAACAGTAACTTTATGAATTCATTTTCAGTATTTCAGTCTATGTGCATACTTATCAACTACTGTAAATTCAGTACTGTTGAAACAATTCTCGTGCAGTCAATTAAACTCTGTTTAGTCTATGGGAATAAAATTGATAATGGAAATGGGGAATATGTCAAAGAGACAACAACCCGACCAAAGAGCAGATAACAGCCGAAAGCCACCAATGGGCTTCAACGCAGCGAGAAAATCCCGCACCTGGAGGTGGACCTCAGCTGGCCCCTAATTAAAAATGTGTTCTAGTTCAGTGAAAATGGACGTCATACTATACTCCAAAAAATTAAAATGAACTAAAATTAAAAAACATACAAGACTAATAAAGGCAAGAGGCTCCTGACTTGGGACAGGTGCAAAAATGCAGCGGGGTTAAACATGTTTTGTGAGATCTCAACCATCCATATCAAGTTTGGAAGCGTACATCTATCTACATTTCTTGTTGTAAGTAACTTATATCGAGGATAACGGTTATCACAAAATACAATTGATAATACACTATCCATCACAAAATATAAAAAAAAAAAAAAAAAAAAAAAAAAAAACACCCGACCTCTCCGACAAAAAAAGACATAGACACAAGAACTAAACAAAACAACGCATGAGCCAGATGAAGTAATTAGTTATATGAATATTTGTATTTGTCAGCCATATTGATACATGTTTCGAGTACAACAATTTACAACTTTAAATCAAATGCTTGGTTTAACATCTATGGGTTTATTTCGAAATAACACATTTAATAATCAATAACCAGAGTTTACAAAATGTTTCCAATGTCTAATTCTAACGTGGCGATAGCTTGTTATTTAATGAACGTTTGCCTACTGACCGATATTACAAAGGATGGAGTTGAGCCAACAACAAATTACCGCCACAATAGTTTATCTGTGTTCAAATCTGGTTAATTGAATAAGAAGACATAAATGAAAGAAGCACAACTGAGGGAATCGCATGAACTCAGAACAGGAGAGAGGCCAGATGCGTCAACACAATAAGCGTCACCAGCCGTGAATCAGTCAAAATATCAGATGCGGGAATGGGACACAAGTAGGTGGTAATAGCAAAGTTTTGAGTGTTTCTGTTTCATGCATATTTTTGTTTTATTGATTATGACCATGTAAAACTTGATATACTGTAAAAACACCTGTCTATTGTTTTGATATTGTGTTTTGCTGTTATGATGAACTTCGTGTTTTTTGTCAATAAAGTGCAGTTTTATTTGAGTTTAATCTAAAGTTTCTATTAATTATATTGAACAGCTACTCCATCAAATTGAATATGATATGGACACTTTACTACTCATTTACAGTTAAGAAAGAAAACAACATGTGCGATTTTGAAACAACACAAGGACAAATGCATTAAAATAATTTGCTCTCAAATAAAAGTATCTTGTTTTTTCGGACTAACTCTTTTAAAACACTGTTTTAAATGTGTTAATTCCTAAAAAAATAAATTTTGTATGTGCTGTAAAAAGTATATTTTTGTTATACTTTCTTAATACATGTATCACATCTCTCTCTCGCTCTATCTCTCTCTCCTGTTTTTTTACTTATGATTGTTGTATTTTTCAGTCGGCTTTACATGGACAAAAGACAGAGAGATATTTAAAATATATATAAGCAAAAAAAAAACCTGATATGTACCCGTGATGCTGCATATATATCTTTTAACATGACCAATTAGGTGAATAAAACCGAAAATTTCCATATATGATCAAGTGTTTTAACGCCGCTAATATCCATATGATTTAAATAATATGTTATGAAAATTATAAAAAACAGGTGGATAAATCATTTATTTACATTTCACAAATATTTTATTTTTTTGTTCAAATTCGATTTCTTGTTTGAGGATGAAGGTAGACATTCGAATATTAAATAAAACTTATAGTTGAGTCAAATATGACTAATGTGTCGTACAGATTATGTCGCGCTGATAGTATAGGAAATTATGAGAATACCTGAATAATCAATTCGCGGAAAAAAATTGTGATACGATTTAGTATTAACTGTACCAATTGCTGTTAGATAAAGATAATGCTATTGTATAAAAGTGTATTTAAAATAAACTGAAAAAACTAGGTAACATTCATATTTTGTTTAACAAATTTCATACAAACATGACAAAGTTGAGCTTTACTAGTCAATAAAAGAAACGATACAAGGCAATGTATTTTCCATATATAATGATATTGGATACACTGTACAAAGGTGAATAATTGCCCAATTGGTCTAATATTTACAGAGTGTTATTTTCTTATCAAAACCATTGATTTAACAAAAAATACGCAAAATTTTTTAGGGGAAATTTTTGTTATTTCAAAAATCGTATTTTCACCCAAAAATTCCAAAATCGATATTAGAACTAAAAAAAAAAATAATTTAAAATTTTGAATACCTTTGCAGATATTTGAATACTTAATTCCCATTTTTCAAATTAAGTGCTGATCTTTTGTCATCATTTTCCGCAATGGATATGTTTGTAGTCAAATTACATTCGTACATCTTGTCCTCTACATAGTGTCATGTCTTGTGTTAAACATGTTTTTAAACTAAAAAAAGCTTTGTTGATTTTGAATCTGTATATATTTATGTTGAGGAGACCCACACGTAGCGCTGTTGGCAATCCTCTTTAAATAAATAACGAATTAAATAAAAAAATTTCCGTAAAATAAATTTCACTCCTGTGTTCAATAACTCGGTATTTTCTAACTTTTCAATTTGGCCAGAACACCACCTCTGATACATTCAAAAAAATGTTGCAAGCGTTCTGTAGCGTTTGAAGCGTGACATTTTATTTGTACGGTGCCTCCATTTTCACGTCACTATTCCAACTTGAAGTAATTTGCTGTTTAAATACCATGCACAGTCAAACGACAATTCATATTGATCACGGACTTTACTGCATGACATAAGCAGTTCAGACTCCAAAGTAGATTCTTACAGTACATTTTTCGGAAGGACACTCGTTTAAACAAATCTGTATAAAAAGGAATTATTAATCTGTTGAGGTAAAGCTAACTATATTATATGGATACTTTGCTGTTTGATTGGTAGATCAAATCAGCTTGCGATGATATGATATTAAATAACGAAAGTACGTTTATTATCAATTCGCGGAAAAAACACTTAATCGGAAATGATGAAATCACAGTGTCCTATTAATAATCAAATTTGGACCTATGAAGGTTTACACGTATCTTTAAATATGGACAGTACTTACAGGTAACGTTTATTTGTTGTTTAACAGATTTTTCATTGCAAGTAATTGCTAGACCTGTCATATCTTAATCTATCAAATAGTTTGTTGGTCAAATACATTTAAACGAAAGTAATGTCTTTATTTCAGCGGTACATTTAGAAAAAAAAGTTCGACAAGTGACAAAACAACATTTTAATACTTTTTTTCGGTCAGGAGTTGAACCCTTTTTAACCGTATTTCCGAAGGAAAAATCGGTTATTGATTTGGGGATGTAAGGCGGGCGAGCGGGTGGCTGTCAAACAGTGTCTATGAATTAACTCATGAACCGTTCAACCAAAGATTTTCAAATTGTAATACTATGAAAGTACTTTTATTCGTGGGGTACCAATTTTCGTAGTTTGTTTGGAAGGCTTTATCCACGAATTTAAGTGTCAAACGAAATAAAACAATTGTTGTCCAAAGCAAGACATTGAAAGATCCACTGTATGTTTGACTAAAAGGATACGGGCATACAATCTAGAGAAAAAAATCAAGATGAAAGTCAGACTTACGGTGAAGATATACCATGATGAAGTGTTCATTTTATCTCTTCATAATTCTGACGAAAAAAAATCATTTTGGCTTGCATTTTATTTCATAAGAATTATTTTATAAGAATTAATTCAAAGTACATTAATTTTGAAGCGTTTTTATGCAACTTTTTTTTAAATGACATGTTAATGACCCAATTAACACCTTTGCTGATCGTTAATCTGTTGATCATTCCATCTCGGGTTAATTAGTGTCAACACTTCTGTGCATCAATTAAAATGTTTACTTTGCAATTTCCTTCAATGAGACATTTTATATTCAGAGATAAATCAGTTTATTTCTGAAAACTATTATTCTATTAAAAATTTGATGAATGTTATCAGAAAGAAAGACAAACTTGTGAGCGACAATTTTTGTTTTTGATAGGTTCAAATTCTTCACCCGATTTTTTTTCTCCAGAAAACTAAAATCCACGAATTTAAGAACCCACGAATAAAAGTACTTTCACAGTATGTTGTTACTGAAGACAAAATGAAGGTCAAATTCAATATTGACGATGTTCGCTTTCCCCGTTCAGGAATTATGGTTCTTGAAAGATTGAAAAACGGTCTTTCCAGTCGTGTCCGTGCTTTAACTAATGAGCCGTTCAACCAAAGCTTTTCAGTTTTTAATATGTTGTTACTGATGATAAAATGGAGTTCAAGTTCATTATTGACGATTTTCACTTGCACTGTTCAGGAGTTATGGTCCTTGTGATATTGAAAAATGCCAGAACACAAACAAATGTTAACATATCCGGTTTTCTGTGGCACTGACAGCCTCTTGTTGAAATATTATTCCTGGGTTAATTATTATTTTAATAACATTTCTTTGACTTTTGATGTGAAAAACAGTCAAATGATAGAAACGAAACTTTGTCTCTTACAACGCGTTTTCAA